TTACACTGGGTTTGGGCAGTTCTACCAACCTGAGACAACTGCAAAGATTAAATCCCACTCCAACACCATTCTTTCCTCACATTATTTTAGTATCACTAGAGGCCGTGTGGAGAACAGCTACTCCACTAAAGACAGTACTGGGCTAAAATGGCACTTCATTAACAGAAGTTCAATGATATACACTATCTTTCCCTCTTCCTTTCAGTCCCATTTTCCTCCTTAATTAGACAATCATCATTTACAGTTCATCTGAGTAATCTGAATATCTTGATTTTGAAGCAAAAGAACGTGTAGGGAAGAGGTATGTAAATAAAGTTACCAAAATAACACTGCTTAGTTGGGTTAGGGTAAAATACATGCAATTAACTAATTCTCCAGTTTTTTTCTTTCATTTAATATTACATTTCTGATTTTAAAGTATTTTTTTGCTTTATTAAAGTTTTAATATTGAATAAATTTGTGTTTTAAAAAACCTAATTATTAAAATGCAGTTATGTTTATCAATTAAGGAGTGGGAGAAAAAACAAATGAGTAAACTAACTAGTAGCAAAAAGTTGTTTGAATCATAATGTGGGTTGAAATGTTCCCATCCACCAAGTATCTTTGGACACATTCTTTTAGTAGAATCTTTTAAACATAATTCTCAAGTAGATTAATAACAAGTGCTATACATTACTTTGTAGGATTATAGAGAAGACTTAGAAAAATCAAGTGACAACATTAAGTGACTTTCAGATAATTTGCAGGGGTTAATTTCTACTCCAGGTCATATCTACTTACTTAGTACTACTGAAATAAAAGTGCCGTTCTGAAATACCATGTAATGTATTAAGTAGGAGGCCTGAAAAATGACAATGAAAGGCAATCCTAGAGAGGAAAACTGGAGGACTATTTTATAATATATCAAAATTTTGCAAAAAATATTTTTATATTTATTATGACCTTACAATGTAGATCCCAATAATCTTTTAAAAGTTTACTGTAATTTTAAAAAATTCTCATAAATATGTAGACCTACCGAAAAGTATTTGTGGGGCAATACATACCTAAATTTAAAAATACCCAAGAGCATTAAGTGAAGTGCACATGAAGCCAATAGAAGGTTCCTATAATATTATTTATTCTTTAACCTGGTTAAATTTAATTGTAAGCCCTTAGGGTTTTCTAAATTAGTTCATTCAGCAAATATTTATTAATCATCTACCAAGTACCATACAGCGTACTAGGCACCAGAACTAGAGAATCTAAAACATTACCTCTTCCTTGAAAGAGACTGACACAGGATTAAGTAAGTACTATATAAAAGAAGTGATCTGCTCTTCCTTGGAGAAAAATCAGAAAAGGTTTCAGACAGGAGATGATACTTCATCTTACGCCTAGAAGTTCAATTTCCCAGACAGACAAGCAGAGAAAAGATGTTACAGATGAAGAACATGGTCAAAACCAAGAGACAGGGAGAGACTACTCAGCATGTATGGAAACTTGTAAATAATTTTTTTTATTTTGAATTTGAAAGATTTATTTATTTTTATTGAGAGGGAAAAGGAGGAAGAAAGAGAGGGAGAGAAGCATTGATGTGTGACATACATCAACTGGTTGCCTCTTGCACGCCCCCAACTGGGGACCTGGCCCACAACTCAGGCATGTCCCCTGACCAGGAATAGAACCAGTGACCTTTTGGTTTGCAGGCCAGCACTCAATCCACTGAGCCACACCAGCCAGGGCCTTCTAAATTTTTGAAGGTTAAGGTTGAGGGGACAGGCGAAGCACAAATGTGACTTGGGAGAGTCAAAAGTCAGGTAAAATAGGGGTTTGTACCACAACCAAGTGTTGTAAACATCACATTCCAACTGAAATGAGTATGAACATATTCCTTATCATCTACCATCCAAATGCAACTCCATCCATACCAAAAAAAAAAAAAAGTCAAGAAAATAATCTGTCCTTTCAGCCTCTTTGATGATGGCCTATATGGTTTTGCAGCCACATTTTTCAAAAGTAATTATTAGAGCATAGATGATAATAAAATTCAGCAGAAGTACATGCACTGCACCAATTGTTTACCAGGCTTCCTTAGAATTCAATTAAAAATAAATTGACTATTTGAAGAAATAAATTGACTTTGCATTAAAATCATATGATTAAAATAACCTGGACTATAATAACAATGGACAGATTTGTGATAATTAATTTTATTTGGTTATAGACACTGAAATTTGTGCAGTTTTGAAAAGTTCTATTCTATGTGATTATTTTAATGTTCTTGAAATAACCAGAGCATTTTATGAACATTTTTAAATGGTATATTTCCCATGGAAATGCTAATATAAGTCCTTGGAGAACTCTCTGTCTCAGAATGCTAAAAAGTTGTTTTCCTAATTAAAACATTTAATATAGCCTTAATTTATTTGCTAAAGAGCCAGCAAAGTTTTTTTTTAACTTCAAATACTCACCCCAAACTAACATTTCCAAATAATCTTGTAACAGTAAAGAACAGCATTTTTCAAAGATAAACAAAATAACATTGTTTTGCTTTTCCTCTAAAGAGCTTTATTTTTCAGAGGATACAGTTTTTCTCAGTGTAAGTAAAAGTCATTGTTTTCAGAATAACAGCTGGCGTGTGATCAATGTTCTTACTGGCCTTCTGGACATTCCACATATCCAAATACTGTTTCTAAATACTTGTTTTGCTGTTTGTCTTGAGGACAAGATAAATTAAAAAGCTCAGATGCACTTCTCCCAACAGCCGACAAAACAAGTTTTTTTAAAGTGCTCTATTTTAGAATGTTACCAACGATGTAATTTCCTGCCTTCCAAAAATTGTTCCTCCATCTTATTTGCCTATCTCTGTTATCTCTAAATCACAAAACACTGGTAAGTTTTTAATCTGCCATTTCCATTATTTTAGCAAGTAAAGGGCAAATAAAGAGCTACACAGACAAGAAAAAAAATTAAAGGAGTTCATCATCACCAAAGCATTATTATATGAAATATTAAAGGGACTTATTTTAAGAATAAGATCAAAACTAGAAACAATAAAATGTCAATAAACACATACTTATCAACAACTGGATCTAAAAAACAAATTAAGCAAACAAGAACAGAGACAGAATCATGGATACAGAGAGCATTTTGAGGCTTGCCAGATGGGAGGGAGTGTGGAGTAAATGGGTGAAGAGGGTGTTTCTTAATCCCTGGGGATTAAGAAGTACAAATCGGTAGTTATAGGAATAGCCATGGGGAGGTACAGTACAGTAAAGAAAAGGGAGTAGTCAAACAACTTATACAAATGACCCATGGACATGGACAATGGGGTGGGGACTGCCTGAGGTAGTGGGGGATGCTGAGTGAAGGAGGACAAAAGGAGAAAACTGGGACAATTGTAATAGCATAATCAATAAAATAGAATTAAAATTAAAGAAAAAATAAAATTTAAAAATAAAGTTATTCTGGTTTTTATTTACCAAAAACTGAACTGAGGCAAAAACTGTAATAGCATAGCCCTGGCTGGTGACTCAGTTGGTTGGAGTGTCCAACCAAAAACCAAAAGGTTGCAGGTTCAATTCCCAGTCAGGGCATATAACTATGCTGCAAATTCAATCCCTGGTCAGGGCATGTAGAGGATACAACTGATTGATGTTCCTCTCTCTCTTTCTCCCTTTTCCTCTCTCTCTAGAATCAATAAACATATCCTTGGGTGATGATTAAAAAAATCACATAACATAATAGTGTAATAAACCTTGGAATCAGCATTTAGTTTAATTTTTTAGAGGCAAGAAATTAATGAAGTATCAAATAACACTTCATTTTTGTTAGAACAATCTCTATGAAAGCTTAGTTTTGGATCAAATCTTAAAATGGTTTAAATTCAAACTACTATGAACATAAGATTTCTGGAGAGCAGGAAATCTACTACATTTGACTTCAAGCTCTAATTTATTTCTTATTTAAAAGCAATTGAGAGTTTAGGTTTGTAACTAATACAAAATAGTAACGATATCTATTATTTATAAAGTGTTCTACATTTTCAAATCCCTCTACAGTTATTTCTATTCCTTTAATAAGTTTGTTTTGGAGGTGTTATTTCTTTTAGGAAATGAAAGGAGCAGAGACAAAATTCAGGCATAGTCCAAAAACAGATTTGTAAAAACAGTATTAAAAGTGTCCAAAAACAAACACACGCCTTTATAGTAGCGCTGATGATAGCAGGGAAGTCCTACAGCAAACTTTATTTTACTATCTAAAACACCAGCTTAACCACACTTAGGAGACAAATTTTATACAGGTAACAGGATCAGCTTATTACAACAGAGAAACCCCAATGTCAACATAGATACAGATACAGTAGAAGGCTGGAGACATAAAACTAAAGGTTAGCATTTCCATTCCTACATTAGATCAAACAAGATTCCACTATTCCACTACAGTTCAAAGATACCCAACAACCACCTTGAAATTCTTAGTCAATAGTAATTATTTAACACCCTGGCTGGCATTGCTCAGTGGATTGAGCGCGGGCTGCGAAGCAAAGCATCACAGGTTCAATTCCCAGTCAGGGCACATGCCTGGGTTGCAGGCCACGGCCCCCAGCAACCACACATTGATGTTTCTCTCTCTCTCTCTCTTTCTCCCTCCTTTCCCTCTCTAAAAATAAATAAATAAAATCTTTCTAAAAATCTTTTTAAAAAAGTATTTATACTCTAGGCAATTTGCTTGTTGTCAGTCATACTAAAACTGTGAATCATGAAACCAATGGCGTCTTCTTTCTCTTTGCACTGGTTGCTAAAGGCTTAAATACAATTTTACAGCAAATGAATAAGACTTAGGTAAACCTATTCCTGTATTTTTTGCCTTCACCATCTCATTTTCCTATGTCCTCACTTCTTTCATTTTTTAATCTGAATGAATTGTGTAAACTTTTAAAATCCATTCTGAAACAAGAAAGTATTTAAGATACTAACTAAACAAACAGTAACAAAAAAATTAAAAAGCAACATTACCTTTACATCAAAATTACAATCAAGTCTTCTAATTAACACGATGAAAGTTCCAGATGAATTGTCTTTTAGTGGTGGAGGCACTATGGGTTCACAGGCATTCTCTGGTTTTGAGTTAATCAAAAAACCCTGAAAAAGAATTGGTAATGAGATTTTTCAGTTTCAAACCTCAAAAAATTCATTCAACTGGCTTCTATCAACAACTTTTGAATCTGTTTTACGTGTTTTGCACTGTTAGATGAGTTATCTGGCAACACCACAGTTTTCACTCTCCAGCTGCTCACAATCCCAGAACTTCTAAGTAGTCATTGGTTTCATAAGCATTTAGATTTTTTAAGTAAGTTCTCTTTTTGCTATTAAAAGTTCTTTTAAAAATCACACATTAGCCTATTACCCCAAGACAACCACTATTATTAGCGTGTTGGCATATTTTCCAGCAATGAACTGACATTTCTAAACCAAGTAAATACTTATTTAAAATTAATTTTTTGTAGTTGTAAGTATTCACTTATTTTTATTTAAAATTAACTTTTACATTTCTTCTATATTATCAAACAATGAAAATACACAGAATTTCTATAAATGTGTTGTATAGAAATACTATCCTCAGTTAATAAAGGTATATGTGGAAAGATGCTACCTACTACATTGTTTTAATAGCAAAACCTTGAAATCATGCACATCAATAAGGCAGCCGTTAATATAATTTATTCATATAAGAGAAACTATAACATATTCATACAAGAGAAAAATAACGAAGCCATTAAAAAATAAGGTGAATCTGCATACAGTAAATGGAAAACATGGCTATAAGATAATTACTAATTTAAAAAGAAACTAGCAAATTGCTTCCCCAAAACTACATGATAGTTTGACATAGATGTAATTTATTAATATTAAATGTTATATTAATAGATTAAAACAGAAAAACCAAATGACTGTCTCAAAAGATGTAAAACACTGAATAAACGCATCAAGATGATCAAATTCATTAAATCCATTTACAAACAGAAAGGAAGCAGGTAAAACCTATGACACGGTGCCTTAGCCACAGTCTGCACGGTTTATTGGTCACATCAAGCATCTATCCCACAGGATTTGGCAATTTCTCCTGCCTGAAGTTTCATTGTTTAGCTTGTGATAAGGAATGCTTTTACACATGTTTCAGGAGTAAAGTTTAACATACCTTAATTTATTCATAGAATAGTTCCCCCTCTTGATTTCATAAAGCATTTGTTTTTACTAGGGCTATGGTTATCATTCCCACAATGGATATTTACTTGGCTCGTGTTAAATTTATACCCTGATGCTTTTTCTGCACCTTCATGTACACACAAACACTTTTGGCTTTAATGCCAAATCACATAGTACAGTTCTTTTCAAGACACTTATAACAGCAATTAAACTGAACCTGGGCAGTACTATTAAGGCATATAACTCAAGTTAAGACAGTAAGAGCAGCTAAGGCCAAATTTCCCATGTCCTGGATGACAGCACCATTGTGACTGCAACCTGGTGGACATCAATTGAAAAACACATCCCAATTTCAGAGATGTTAAACACAGGGTAATAAAATGTATCTTAGAGTCAGTAAATTTATGTTATGGACAGACCATACAAGTGGAACTTTTACAAGATTTTTGCTTTTAATCACTTCTATATTGTTGAATGTGTTATGACAAGCATGTATTGTTTTTTTCTTAAAATATATAAAAATACACATAGGCTAGAAGTACAAAAACATTATTAGCATTAATGAAAAACTGAATTCTTTAAAAAGGTCTTAAATTAAACATTATTTTTCTTATTGATTATGCAAAAAAAGAATAACTTGCTAAAACAGATTACTAATTCCTATTCTTCCATCAGGTGTCAGTCACTTAAAACTACATGGAAATTTACTTTCTTTCATCTACAAAGTCTATGAAGAGGAGTAACATGCTTTGCAAATTAATTTGGCAGAAGTTCCTTAAATAGGAGTGGTCAAGAAGGTGCTGCCTTCAGTGAGTTCCACAGGCCTAGCATCATCCTCCAGGCGCAGGATGTCAAACTCATTTTCACTGGGGGCCACAGCAGCCTCACGGTTGCCTTCAAAGGGCCAAATGTAATTTTAGGACTGTATAAGTGTAACTACTCCTTAACTAAGGACATGGAGTTTGGCACTGCCACTGGGTAGAAACAAGGTGCTAGGCCAGATAAAACAAGGTAGAGGGCCAGATTCCGCACGTGGGCCTTGTGTTTGCCACCTGTGCTCTAGGGCCAAACCCTTCTTATTAAAATGATGCTTATTCCACAATCAAGATCTTGTTATAAAGGAGAACTTAATGCCAGTACTATGTAGGAAGCTCAAGAAAACTACCAATGCCTGGGGGGCTCAAGCTGGATGACCACCTTTCTTCTCTTTGTTCTTGTAATTCTCTGATGATTAAACAAGGTTCTGCACAAAAATAGTGCCATACACTAATACCTCAAATTATCATTAAATGCATAATGTGGTAAGCTTACAATATGTTAATATGTTGATTTTTTTAAAAAGCTTTAATGACGTTACATAAGGCAAAGTGCACAAAATTGAATTCTGCAGCTTGATAGGTTTCCACAAACTGACTGCCCCTGCATCAGGACATGGAATATTAACAGTGCTGCAGAGGTTCCCTTTGCCCTCCATGCCACTCATTACACCCCAACCCAGTACCCAGCATCACTGCATGCACTTTTAAGAGCTTAGATTAGTGTTGGCCTACTTTGACACAGCATACACAGAACCCTAAAAGCGTATAGTAAACACTTTTAGATATTTTTCTCTTAGTACTGTATTTGTCAGATTCAACTCTACTGTTAAAAAACCACACTGTTGAGATATACATAGTAGATTTTTCATTTTCATTTCTATATAGTATTACACTGTGTGGATGTGCCAAAATTTATTCTATAGTTTTTTTAATATATTTTATTGATTATGCTATTACAGTTGTCCCATTTTTTATTTATTATTAAAATTTATTCTATAGCTGATGAGCATTTGGGTAATTTCTAGGTAGGGGCTATCACAAATAGTGCTGTTATAAACATCTAGTGCAAGTCTTTTCATGAACACATGTATGCATCTGTGAAGTATGCACAGTAAAGCAAGATCATAGGGCATTAAGCTTTATTAAATACCATAAAGCAGTTTTCCAAAGTGGTTTGGGTTACCACTTTTTAACTGAAATAATCTAAACATAAATCATACAAATATAATTTTGCCTTAGTGCTTCAGAAAGTATTAGGAATTGCAACATTTCAGGGTAAACATTATGGAAAAATTAGTTTTGTTGATAAATTACACTGGTTAATAAAGTCACAAAAAGCTAGAATACTCAATAAAGTGGTTTTGTTCAAAATATTGTTTCAGGTTGAAAAGAGCCTTCACTTTCCTTCCCTTCAGATTTCACTGAATGTCAAACTATAAAATGAGTAAAATTAAGAAGAGTAAATGCAGCAATAATTCAACAAAAGTGCTAAATACAAGGCAGTAGACCATCTTTGCCTTCATTAGAGTATAAAAGGAAAAGCAGGAAGAAGTGATAAGTTGTTTTCTTAGTGAATACCTTAAGTTATGAATTAATAACTGCAGCAACATCAAGCAGTTAACATTTGTTGAGCCATGGTACTCAGTATGGTGTGTCAAGTACTATGCCCTTTAACTGTTCTAATTCAGTTCATCTTTGCAACCCTATGAGGTAGCTACTATTATCATCACTCTTGTAAAGATGAAGAATCTAAGTCTCAAAAAAAGTAATTTGCCCACGGTTACATATAGCAGGCATGCAATTCCAGAAGTCTAACTCTAGATCCTATGCTTTCAACCATTATGCTATATTGCCTCCACAAGACAGACAAGACAAAAAACAAAAAACAAAAAACCACCACTGGGTGAAGTACAAAATAGACAAAGAGGGGAGTGAACATTTATAAAAATGAATAAGCAAAAATGACAGTCTAAAAGGTAATTAAGGTCGATTTCACAATTTGATACAAATATTTCAAATGATGAATATGTCAACCTTTCTACCACAATTTTTACATCCAAACCTGACCAAAAAGAGTTCTACTTATCAATTAGACTTTATTAGCTAACATTTTCCTAATGTGAGACAGATGATTTTATTTATATCAATAACTTTCTATAATGTTAAAAATATTCACTGCCCTTTTCCCTAATTCTTTATTAAATCATTCTTCCAAAATCTACCAATAACTTTCATATGGAGGACATATTCAATTCCTTTTTTACAAATAGTTGGGGATTAGTCTCCTCTTAGGCAGCAAAACATCCTTTCACTGTAATTCATATCATAGTAAGCTCCTCTAACACTATGCTCTGAATACACTGGTCACATTTCATGAGGACTCTGGTTAAGTACTAGAATGGATTACACTGAGTCTACCCAGCTAATATCTGTAAAGAACTAACAGATCCAATAAGATAAGAGGAAACAAAGTATAAGCAACATGCAGCACAACTGCACAGAATAGAGCAAATTATTCTAACTATAGCTAGAAGTAACAGAAAAAGTGTTGCTTGTGTTGGTTCTTAAACTTTAGTGTATTTCAGGTGGGTGCCAAAAACTGACTGTACTACTATACATGATCTGACTGATATAACAACAAATAGGAATTATAGCTCTTTTTTTTTAAGTTGAAGATCTAATGTGGCTTTATTCTACAATTCATGAATCAGGCAGCACCCCATCTAGTAAATAGTGGGTTGGCCAAAAAGTTTGTTTGGCTTTTTCCCCAAGATGGCTCTAGAAGCACTTAGTTGTCTTTAATTTCATCCGAAAGTATTTTGTTAGACTGTACTGTCACAGCTGTCATATCAGCATTCATTTAAAAAATAAGCTTATCAAAATTGGTGAATTTTTGTGTAGCCATTTTAATATTGAAGTTGGAAGAAAATATGCAACATTTTTGGCATATTATGCTTTATTATTTCAAGAAAGGTAACAATGCAACTGAAACTCAAAAAAAAAAAAAGACTTGTAAAGTGTATGGAGAAGGTGCTCTGGCTGATTGAACCTGTCAAAAGTGGTTTGCAAGATTTTGTGCTGGAGATTTCTTGCTAAACGATGCTCCACAGTTGGGTAGACCAGTTGAGAAGTTAATAGAGATCAAATTGAGACACTGATTGAGAACAATCAATGTTATACCACACGGGAGATAGTCAACATACTCAAAATATCCAAATCAAAAAAGTTATGGGTGACAATGAAAAATATGTCTTTTATTTTATAGAGAAAACCATACATATGGACTTGTTGGGCAACCCCATAGAAAGGTGCTCTAAACTACCACTCTTTAACCTGTTTTAGACACTTAACCCTTTCTATTCAAGCACTATACATCCAAATTAGGTTTTTGGCAAATATATCACAGTTGTTTCAACAAATTTTAACATGTTGCAACTAAGCTATATTTCTACTTTTCAGTACCTATCTTTTAAGACTCAAGGGCAAAACATTAGTATATTAACCATTCCAAGCTTCATGCATCTCCAAATTTGATAGCCATGCCTTCCATGTCTTTCTGCACATCACTGAGGAATGCACTTAATAAGAATGCACTTAATAATGTGAGTGCTATATACTTATTAAAAGTTAAGCCCTCCCTGGCTGGCACAGCTCAGTGGATTGAGCATGGACTGCGAACCAAAGTGTCACAGGTTCAATTCCCAGTCAGGGTTCATGCCTGGGTTGCAGGCCATGACCCCCAGCAACTGCACATTGATGTTTCTCTCTCTTTCTCTATCTCCCTCCCTTCCCTCTCTAAAAATAAATAAATAAAATCTTAAAAAAAAAAGTTAAGCCCTTAACTGTATTAAAAAGTTTTCAAAAAACTTCTTCACAAATTAAGTATTACACCTGTAACATTATTCAGAGCAGTAACTGAGTACCTTCCACCTCAGAATTACATCTCTCCTTGTATATACTATTAGAATTCTCCCCAATAATTTTTTGTTATATATTTTTATCAATGAATTAAATTTTAGATTTTGATAAAATCTGAATACAAAATGTCATACAAGATGTTTCTGGTCAAGATGAGGAAGTAGGTAAACACTGTGTTTGCCTCTTCCCATGACCATGTCAAAATTACAACTAAATTATAGAACAATCAACCTGGAGAACCACTTAAAGACTAGCTGGACAGAACTCCCCTAACTAAGGATACAAAGAAGCCACGTGGAGACTGATAGGACAGGCAGAGGTGTGAAACAGGCTGGTCCCACACCCACATGTGACAGTTGAGAACTGGGGTTTCTCAGCTGCAGAGGTCCCATGAGAGGAGTGACAGGTCCCAGTCCCACAATGAACTCCCCAGCGCAGGGTTCCAGTGCCAGGAAGAGGAGTTCCCACAACATCTGGCTAGGTAAATCAGCAGGGACTCCATCCAGGTGAGACCGAAGGCTGCTGAAACACCCAGGCATCCTTTTAACAGGCCCATGCACAATCTCACTCACACTCACTATAAGCTCCAGAGAAGGGAGAGCAGCTTGAAAGGCACCAGAGACATACTGGGGAGAAACTAAATTATGAGGTTTCAGGGTGAGGGCCTGGAGGGACAGAAAATTTTATTCCTGTATTAAGCCCTGCCCTGACTTGGCCTGCAGACACAGGTGCTGCAGACTTTCTTAAAAACTCTCAAGGTCCACAGATCCCAGGCAGGCTACAAATGGCCTCAGTGTGTGTGTGCCTTTTGCTGAAAGGACCCAGGCCCAGCACTGACACTAAATCTGAATATTCATGAACATTCATAAATCATGAATATTCATTCATATCCTGGGAACACCACTAACCCCAAGCTGGTGACTCCCTGAGATCCGCCTCACCCAAAGCTCTTTCACAGGCTGTTCCTCACAGGTACAGGCCTCACTTGTGATGCAGACCATTCTAAAAACTCTCAAAGGTCTGAAAGGTCTGGAAAGGTGCCTCACAGCCACATCATGCCCTGTACCTCTTGCTGAGTGGCCCCAGGCCCAGTTGCAGTTTTGGCCTTCCTCAATTTGCCCTGTTGCCTCTCCCACATGCCTCCCGGCACAGCACAGGCAGTTCCAGCTGTGGATCACTTTGTAGCTCCTGCCAGTGGCCCAGGGCCAAGCATAGGCAGTGGCTGACCTTGGCCTGCACAGAAGTCCCACCTAAGAGGCCCCAAAACCAACATACCAGGTGGCTGCTTTCAGACCACAACAGAACACCACCCAATTAGCTCCGTGAACAACATACCCCAAGAGCTGTCTCAGTAGGCACCAGAGCCTCACTGGAGCAAATCCTACTCCATGGGGTCAGCCCCTGTACAGCAGCTGGTACACTGTGGTCATAGCCAATCCTTCCAGCCAGCCAGCCTGAGGATCAACCCCACCCACTGACTTGCCAACAGCAATCAAAGTTCAACCACAACAGGAGGGCACACACAACCCACACAAGGGACATTCTTGGAGCACCAGGCTGAGCCACTGGGTTCCACAAGACACCTACCACATAAGGTCACCTGCCAAGACTGGGAGAAGTATAAGATTTACCTAATACAGTGAAACGAACACCAAGAAGCAGCCAAAATGAGGAGACAAAGAAACAAGTCCCAAATGAAAGAACAGAAAAAAAGCCCCAGAAAAAGAACTAAACCAAAGAGAGGCACGCAATCTACCAGATATGGAATGTAAAAACATTGCTTATAAGGATGTTCAATGAACTAGGGGAGAAATATACATGTATTTTGCCATGTATAATGCATGCCCATGGGATTGTTATGCCCATTATTATACCCATGGTATGCAACAATATACCCATGTATAATGCACATCCTTATTTTCCCTCAAAAATTTGGGCAAAAAAGTGTACATTATACATGGCAAAGTACAGTAGATAAAAAGTCACTATAGGTTTGAACTTTTTTTTATCCTCACCCAAGGACATTTTTTTTTCAATGCTTTTGAAGAGAAAAGGACAGAGAAAAACATCCATGCAAGAGAGAAGCATCCATCATTTGCCTCCTGTATGTGCCCAAACAGAGAATCAGTGCCCGCACAGGGATATCTGCATCCAACAGGGGTTGCATGCAGCCAGACGGGGAGTTGCACACACCCACACCTGGACCAGGGATCCAATGGGAATCGAACTGCAACCTTTTAGTTATAGGACAACACTCCAACCAAGCAAGCCACACCAACCAGGGCAGTCTGAACATTTCTGACATTGACACCAGCTTCCTTCATAGCTTATTTCACTAAAGTATATGGCTAGTAACTACAGTCTACAGTCGATCAGCCAGAAGAATCCAGGTGTTAGATTTGGGGAAACAGAATAGCAAAGGACAAGTGTGAACTTTATGAGTTTATAAACTTACGAATTAAAAGCAGTACATATTCAGAAAAAAAGGATCTGTAGGTCTGTAATATTATTTAACACCCTAATATTCAACTCTAAAGAAAAGAGTGGGATTGATATGTGCAGATAAACAAAGGGGTGAAGGCTTTTCCTTTTCCCTCTGTATACTTCTCTTCTGTTTAAATACCTTTACAATGAGAAATAGTCATACAATGCTGGAAATTTCAAAAAAATCATTCAAACCATGCTTGCTTCAGCAGCACATGTACTAAAAGTAACTTAAAATCTTTAAAAAAATTAAAAACTAACATGCCTCTCCCAAAGGTGCCTGTCAACCTAACTGAGAATAGTTTTACAGTACTTAAGAAATTTTTTAAAAGTTAGAACAAGCTGAAATCATTCTGTGGTATATATATACACAATTTTATGTATACTAAGTTATGTAACATAAAAACTTCATATTACCTTGGAAAAGATAATATGAGTAATACTTTCTAACCATGAACCTAGATGTAGAAAGAAAAAATAGCATTTTTTAAGTACAAAAACAAAGACGGTCAATTGCATTAGATATTTCTTTATCAATTAACAAAAAATGGATAATGTCTAGTACTGAAAAAGGCATGGGAAAAAGAACAGCTTCAAATACTAAATTTGGAAGGGCCACTTGGAATCCCAACAAAATTTTAAACACGTGTTCCATAAACAAAGCTCTACACTTAGAAAAGTATCTTATGCAAATAAACAGACAAATACAGAAGAATAAAGCCATTCATTGTAGCACTGTTTGTAACAGCAAAAACTGGACAATCTAAATATTCACTATGAAAAATTAAAGCAATCAATTTTTAAAAATCTATAGTGTTTTATGATAATGTAAAAACATGCTGCTCTGGCTGGTGTGGCTCAGTGGATTGAGCACCGGACAGTGAACTGGCACATGCCTAGGTTGCGGGCCAAGTCCCGACTGGGGGAGCGTGAGGGGCAACCGATCGATGGTTCCCCTCCCTTTCTCCCTCACTTCCTCTCTCTCTAAAGAATAATAAATAAAATCTTTTTAAAAAGACCAAAAACCAAAAACATAGCCATTGCAATAAAAACATGAAAAGATTTTCTAGATATACAATTAAGTGAAAAAGGCAGTGAAAAACCTGTTAGTGTTAAATATAGGTTCATTGTCTATATAACCATGTATTCAATACATAAATATACACACACACATCTACAAACATACACACAGCACACAGCCTAGAAAACAGGTCTAAAATACTGCATAACAAAATATTAACAGTGGCTAGTTCAGAGTAATACAATCATAGGTGATTTTCACTTTCTTCTTCATACCTTTTAAATAGTCTAAACCCTGTACAAATGAATATGTACAAGTTTTATGATAAGAAATAGTAACAAATATTTTCATCCTTTAAACAAAGAGCAATCAAATGACCTTATTAAATATCTCGTGCTTTTATCATATATCACAATTTTCTTACCTTTAAACCTTCAGCCGGAAGTCTATAACCAAATCTTGCTGGAAGGTCATCAAATGTCTGAGACACATTTTCAAAATTATACTAAATATAAAATTAAACACAATTAAGTTACAACCGATTCACACATGGCATTAAAAACAAAAAGTTTATTAAATTATTTGAGTTTTCATTTCCACAATTCTGATTATCTCCATTTATCACAGGGGAAATAACTTTGCAAATGCACATCAAAATATCAAGAAATACCTATAATTTACTACATACACAGCTGCTTAAATTGGATCCTATTTCATATAATAATTATACAACAGCAATAAATCTATGACATTAAACCACCTACTGTTTTCTGAGTTTTTCCCACAGACAATACCCAACAAGAAATTTTCCAAACAGATTATTTCCCAGCAAGAATTCCATTTTATTTTCTCTATATTGTAAAGGTCTGACATAAGAGATTTATAGGATTTCTGGTTGTAGCTATGAAAAATGCTTTTTCCCCAGAGAAAGAAGGGGCATCAAATCATACCTTTAAAGTATTATCATTTTTTATATAATCTGAACATTTTTATCTAGGGCTAAACAATGAAAAGACTAAACTCAGTGAAGTACATACATATAGACAGCTGAAGATATTCCAACTCTTTGAGCAACTTTCCCCTTTGTTATGGATTTAGATTCCTATGTTATAATATTTATCAATCCTCTACAAAAACAGAACAAAACAAAACCAAATAAGGGTTTGTGTGCTTTTGGAAGATAATAGTAAATGATAATTGTGTAGTGAGATTGATGTATTAAGAATGTTTAATCTGGTATATCTCTAATTAGGGAAATAAGAAATATAGATGAAACTAAGCAAAGATAATAAACAAATAACTTTTGAAACATAGACAAAACTTGTATAGTACATTAGAAGTTAAGATAGTTGCCATAATGGCAAAAAAAAAAAAAAAACAGAAAAAATTGAACACATCAGTTTTGAATAGAGATAAAAAGGATGGAACAAAGCAAGAGTGTTATGTATAGAGAGCAAAGGATGAAAGGATGAAGTAAACCTTAAATATTCACAAAGCATGGATTAGACCGCACACACCAATTGATGGCTACATCATCCCTAAATCAAACACCTACTGGTGATCACCATTCGAGCCTCCTGTGTCATTTGCAAGCAACATGCAGATAGATAAATAGCTCTTCAGGTTAAAAGCAAGTAACAGTGGTGTTCATTTTTAAATATCTTGTATCTCTCCAACAGAGCAAACAAAGGTTGGATCCAGACACCTTCCATCTGTCAAGTCCCCATGCTAACCCTCAACTCAGATCCTGGTAACCACACTGTCACCAGGGAAAGCTGAAGCAGCGTAAAGGGACTGGACAAATTGAAACAATAACACAGGATTCACATAGTGTGGTTCTTGCATTCCACTCATACCCTATCCTAAGTGTCTCAGTATATTCATCTGTTACCTATACCTCTCACTGTATATTTGTAACTAACTCAATAAACTGATTTAAGCATCTGGATTTGATCACTGAAGCTAGCCATTGTGTTACCTCTAGAATAATCATCCTGGCATTATACTTAGAGGCCAGCACTGCTTCTGGGTAATTTCCTGCAGTAACACTAATTCATATTTGCAGAGTGCTCTATGATTACTAAGTGCTTTAGATTGACAAAGTGCTATTGTATCATCACCATCTAATCTCTTAATTAAAAGATCTGTCTTTAATTGATTTCATTCCATTTTGATCAGCTTTGTGTTGAACTTGAGAAAGTCATTTAACTCTTCCAAGGAAAAAGATACTACTGTAAAACAAAGAAATTGATCTAGATAAACATAGATTGACCAAAGGAAAATACGTATGTGTACAGGCAGTACTTTTTCAAAAAGGTACCTTTAAAATCAGGAATGGAAAATATACAACTGTGCTAACATATTCTTATGCCATTTCCTATTACTGAAGAGTTTCACTTTTTTGACCGGAAGTTCAGAAATAAAATATCTAGCTTAAACAGTAGTACTTGTAACACTAGGACTTGGAATCAGTTTTGTTATTGAGTGAGACGCATTTTGAAATTGCTTTTTCTTTCCTTAATAGCAAAATAAGGACTATCTCACACTGCTTCTCACAATCACATTGTTTAAAAACAACAACAAAAAAATGTTCTTACCATGAACAAGAGAAATAGAAAGATCTTTACCACAAAAGTACTTTACATTTTTAGTATTAGAAGGGAGGCTGCTACTCCTGAAATTAAAGCATGCTCACTATTAAAATTTTTTTAAGATCTTTCTTATTTATTTACTTATTTGTTTTTAGAGAGAGGGGAAAGGAGGGAGAAAGAGAAGGAGAGAAACATCGATGTGTGAAGAAACATCAATCTGTTTGCCTCCCATACACCCTCAAATGGTACGCAGCCTGCAACCCAGACATGTGCCCTGACTGGGAATCAAACTGGTGACCTTTTGGTCTGCAGGACGATGCCCAGCCCACTGAGCCATACCATCAGGGGACTATTAACTTTTGTGAAGTAGAAAATAAAGTCATCCTCTCTGGAATTCCAGCCTCAATGATTAATACATATAACGGTTTTGATTTCTGAAAAGGTCTTTTCCTTAACCAGTTCTCAGCTTTGACAGCAGCCTTAACAAAAGGTATAATTTAATTTTGAAAGTAACAATTATTAAACATTTATGACATCATACTAAACACTTAACAGGTATTTACTTATTTAATCCTTACAACTCTATAATATCAGGCATTATTATGGTCATTCTCATTTTAGAGAGACCACAGATACTGAAAATAACTTGCTCTAGTAAATTAGAGGACCAAGATTCTGATCCAGGCAGTCTGGCCCCAGAACCCTGGCTCTTAACCCACTACCCTACACTGTGTATCATACAATCTCATTTTCATAAGAAGTTAAGTGTGACTTAAGATAATTAAATTCAACTCAGAGTCTAACTCAATTGCTAGAACTCTTAACTACCATGCTATGTAATCTAATCCACTCACACCACTGGGTCCTTCTCTCCTACTCTGCCTACTGACCCTCACAAGCAATGAATTCTCTCTGACAAATCCCTACAATAAAATCAAAAGGCAGATTGGGAGTAAACCAAACTTGAACCCAAGTTCAACTTTGCTCTCTACTCTCTAAAGCTGTATAAGATGGATACCACTTCTCAGTAAGACCATGGCACTATTCAGAGCTAACAAGTCCCTTGTAGCTTATGGGCCTCAGAATATTCAACATTGATCTCATTATCTCTAAAGTGTGAATGCCCCTGCAAGGTCTAAAGCTCCATGTTTCTAGGTATAGACCTACATAATTACTAATTTCACATTTCCTTTTGGGTCAAAGGAAAGAGAAATGAGGTAAGAGATAAAAGCAGAAAAAATTGCTAACAGAAACAACAACTATCTAAAGTACCAAGGAATGAATGCTATTAAGAAAAACACTGAAGAACTGAAGTGTGGCTCAGTGGATTGAGTGTCAGCTTGCAAACCGAAGGATCGCAGGTTTGATTCCCAGTCAGTGCACATGTCTGGGTTGCAGGCCAGGCCCCCAGTAGGAGGCGCATGAGAAGCAACCACATATTGATGTTTCCCTCCTTTTTTTCTCCCTCCCTTCCCCTCTCTCTAAAAATAAATAAATAAAATCAAAAAGAAAAGCAAAAAACAAAAGAAAGGACTAAATCTCTATCAATTCAAACATTTACTGACTTCTACTTGTATAACTTGCACTAGGTGCCAGAAACATGTTTAGTAAGACACAGTCCTGCCTTCCAGGTTCTCATGATCTAGGGAGCTTACTGGGTAGTTAGCCACACACTATACTGGCATCTCTAATAGTCTCTTAGAACTCAGCAACTAGTTGGACAAGTACTGTTTCAGGCAATTAACAGTTAAATGGGAGAATTCAACTGCCAAAAATAAAATCATCTGGCATACAAATGCATGACTAAAACTGACTTTATCATTTCAAATGCAGAATCCTAATATCTGTCCAAAATGGAACAAGAATCAATCTGTACCAACTTACTTAAATCTGTATTGCTACAAGCTCTAATTTTAGGAATGTTCTTATTTAAGCAACTCCTACGCAGATGATTCCTTCACTAGATAACATTAACATACATTCCACACTTACCTACCTGAAGTACAGGGAACCCTGATGGCAAGAACTGACTGTTCTGCTATACCTAATACTTTGTTTTGTCTATATGAGACAGGCTAGTAAGCCAGACAAGTGGGAAAGGGAAACTGAGACAAACAGTTAAACAAGCAGTTTGCAGCCATTTAGTTAGTAATCCCTACCTTCCCTAAACCAGGGGCACTTAAGAGTAAATGGTTTGGACTTCTGGTCAAGATGGCAGCATAAGCAGACATGGCTCACCTCCTCACCCAACCACAACAAAATTACAACTAAGATATAGAACAACCATCACTCAGAACTCATAGAAATAGAGTTGAATGAAAGTCTGACAACTACAGAATTAAAGAAACCACATCCATCCAGACTGGTACAAATGGGCTGGTCCCACATCCAAGTGTGGTGAATAAAAATTAGGGAGGGATATCTCGGGAGCAAAGAGTCCCACAACCACACCAGTTCCCCCTGCCCAGGGTCCAGTGCCAGGAGGATAAAGTCCCCACAACGTCTGGCCACAAAAAGCAGTGGGGATTGAGTTGATGAAAGAAACTTCTGGAGCCCCAAGTAGTTCCTCATAAAGAACCCACACATGGATTCACCTACTCAGACTCAACTCTCTCTGGGCTCCTGTACCAGGTTGGCAATTGCGAGGCACAAGTGGTGTGCAGGGGAGGCTGAGATGTCTGGCATCAAGGTGAGCAGAAGCCAATGGGAGCCCTCCCCCTACATAGCTGGCAGACTGGTACTGATCTAAGATCCCATAAACTTGGTGAACAGCGTTTGATCTGCCTTGGAGATTTCCAGAAACTCTGCCCCACCCAAATTACAGATACCTAAGCTGCTTTTCCATATGAATGGCTGGTCATGCTTTACAACTTCCTAAATCCTCTCAAACATGCAACAACCAGCCTTAGTGAGCCCTAGGCCCAGAACTAGCAGCCTAGATTCATAGTATGATTTCACCTGGGAATCTTTAAGCCCAGCACAAGTAGCAGCCATCTCAGATTCTTTTACAGTTCAGGCAGGGTGGCCTACAGGCAAAACACAGGCCTATACCACCCAGGAAACCCCAGGGCTAGCACACGCAGTGGACAGCTACAGACCACATCAGGGTACCACCACCCTACCTACCCCTGCACAGCTGATCCCCATGGATGGTCAGGTTCATGGGAAGTGGTCACAGCCAATCCTTGCAGCTGACTGGCCTGGGTAAATCCCTCCCACTGATCAGCTAACAGTTGAACCAGGGTTCAACTACAAGAGGAGGGTGTGCTCAGCCCACTCAAAGGGCGCACCTTGAGTACCCTGCTTGGGTATTGGGAGAGGCTGTGCCACTAGACCCTACAGGACACCTACTATATTAGGCCACTCTACCAAGACATGGAGTCAAAGCAGCTCTGCCTAATACAAGGAAACAAACACAAGGAGGCTGTCAAAATGAGCAAAGAAACATGGCCTAAGTGAAAGAACAGATCAAAACTCGAGAAAAAGAGGTAAACGAAATGGAGATAAGCAATCTCTCAGATGTAGAGGTCAAAACACTGGTCATAAGGATGCTCAAAGAACTTAATGAGGACCTCAACAGCACAAAAAACATCTAATCAGAAACAAAGGATACACTAATTAAAATAAAGAAGGATTTACAGGGAAACAACAGTGGAATGTATGAAGCCGATAATCAAATGAATGATTTGGAACACAAGGAAACAAAAAACAACCAACCAGAACAACAAAAAGAAAAAAGAATGCAAAAAATGAGGACAGAATAAGCAGCATCTGAGAAAACTTCAAGAAGTCCAACATTTGCCTCATAGGGGTACCAGAAGGAGAAGAGAAAAAGCAAGAAATTGGAAATCTATCTGAAAAAATAACAAAAGAAAACTTCCCTAATTTGGTGAAGGAAATAGACATATATGTCCAGGAAGCACAGAGGGACCCAAACAAGATAGATGAAAAGAGGCCCATTCCAAGACACATCATAATTAAAATGCCAAAGGTTACAGATAAGAGAGAATCTTAAAAGCAGCAAGAGAAAAGTAGTTAGTTACCTCAGGGGAGTTCCCATAAGACTGTCAGCTGATTTCTCAAAAGAAACTTTGTAGGCTAGAGGAGACTGGTAAGAAATATCAAAGTCATGAAAAGCAGGGACCCACAGCCAAGATTGCTCTACCCGGCAAAGCTATCATTTAGAAGTGAAGGGCAGATAAAGAGTTTCCCAGACAAGAAAAAGTTAAAGGAGTTTATTGTCACCAAACCATTATTATCCAATTTTTAAATATAACATTATCAAAGTCATTACAGATACACTAATTATCAAGAAAAACAGTAAGATTCTACAAAAATACACAGCACATAGATATATATGTGCATGAACACTCTTGGGAATACACACACACTCTCAAGAGCAACATTTGTCATGTACTTATTGAACATTAGATCTTAACTAGCTATTAAACAATAAAAAGATGAGTATGGTCCTCCCACTTTCAAGTAACAACTATGCATATGTGCCTGTATGTCTGCAGGTAAACAGCTCATAGGATTCCATCATTTAGAACTTTTTTAAAGCTTTTTTTTAAGGGATGCTTTTAGACAAAAATAAATTTTATTGTACTTACGGCTAAAATGTCTGCTTCTACAGGCAGTAGGTTTAAGAATGCAAACAGCTGCACAGTCAAGATGGTGTAGACTTGTGTGGCTGACAGCATGAGCATCCCTATGGAGAGCAGCATCTCGCTGTAAAATCACCTGTAATATAAGAAGGTAAGTAACAATGAGCTCTGGTGCTTTGTCCCTGAAGATAAGTGACATGCTGTATTAATTCCTGATGTCCAAAAATATCTCTTTTAATTGTAAATATGTGATAATTAAAATTAAACATATTTCAAAAGCATTAGAATTTACACATATTTGGACATTTAGGTAAACACCCAAAATTAGTTAATACTTAGCAATTCGTGGTGACTAAGTACTGAGTTTTAACTACAAATCAAACATATTCCCACAGCCCTTGGTTTACAGTAGGGCTTATATCCTAATTCAATTATGGGGAAACTAGATTTCAATCAAAATAATGATTTAAAAATCACAAGCACCTTTGCTTTAAATTTTCTATAATTTTAAAGGATTTTGTAATTCTTTAAATGATATGTACATTCACTTTTTATTCTAGCATATTGTACTTATAGTAGAGAATGTAAAAAATGGACACTTACTATAGAATAATACTTTTTGCCCTTTCTCTCCTAATATGTGCATTTTTCCTTCCCTACATCCTAATGGCAATAGTGCAGCTACCTCTCCCAACCTCATCCAATTCTCTGCATAAGTCCCTATCTATTGTACAGCAAAAAGATACCCTGAAAGGACTAAACATTAACCTAGTTGAGTTTGAAATTCTCATCAATAAGCCTCAACCAACTGCAGAGCATACTTAAAGGTGAGAGCAAAGTCTGCCTTTATAAAGAATTAGTTCATTAAATGCCAGCAACTCATGTAATACCAATTTTGATGATGATCACTGTTGTTAAGGGTGATCACTCTGGGTTTGGAGACTACATACAGATTCAAACTTTGACTCTTTGACAAAAACTAAAATATCTCAATAATTTTTGAACTACCACCTTACAAACCCATTAATCTGAGAGATGAAATAAAGGTGAAAACACATTAAATAAGAGATTTGTTCCTAAGAGAAAGAAAATACATTAGCGGTTACCTCTGGCTGGGGTTAAGAATTAAGGGAGGGGGAGGGACAGATATGAAGAGGGAATGACTGCTCATAAACTAGGTTTCTTTTCAGGGTGATAAAAATGTTCCAGGTCCTGCCTGGGTAGTTCAGTTGCTTAGAGCATCATCCAAATACACCAAGGTTGCAGGGTTTTTTCCCAGTCCGGGCACATGCCTGGGTTGTGGGTTCAGTCCCTGGTAAGAACATGTGGGAGAGGCAACTGACAGATGTTTTTCTTTCACAGCCATGTTTCTCTCTCTCTTCTTCCCTCTCTTCTTCTAAGTATGTCCTCAGGTAAGGATTGAAAAAAAATAATCTGTCCTAAAAAATGTCCTAAAATCAGATTGTGGTTATGGTTGCACAAATGTATCAATATATTAAAAATCACTGCACTGTTTCAATGGGTAGATTTTATGGTGAATGAATTATATCTCAATAAAGCTGCTTTTTAAATGTATAGATTTGTTGATACTACTCTTAGGTAAAATACATTTGATAATATACCTCTGTGCAGGAAAAAAGTTAACATAGCAGGCCTGAGACTTTTATCCTTAGAAAGGCCCCTTTATAAGCAAGACTGGCCCTTCACTGGTACCTGGGAACCTAAATTTCAGAAGGGTTCCATTGTGCCTAAACTCTGCAAACAATCCGGTTTATGTTCAAAATGTACTTTCTTTCTGGGAGTCTGAAATTTTGGTACATACTAGGATACATGAGCAGCACCCAGTGTAAACCATACACACTGTATCTAGCTGCTTTTCGGGTAGACATTTCCATGTGTTGTCATAACATATTGCTGAGAAATTAAGCATAATCTGTGTGACTCCACTGGAAGGCAACTCTTAAAAGTCTAAACCTGGTTTCCTCTGGACTTTACCCATGCTCCTTTTCTCTTTGCTGATTTTGCAATAAATCATACTCATGAGTACAACCATACCCTGAGTCCTGTAAGTTCTCCTAGTGCAGGAGTGTCAAACTCATTTTCACTGGGGGCCACATCAGCCTTGCAGTTGCCTTCAAAGGGCTGAATGTGATTTTTGGACTGTATAAATGTAACTGCTCCTTAACAGTTAAGCAAGAGCTTGGTGCTGCCACCAGACAGAAACAAGGTGCCTGGCTGGATAAAACAAGGTGGAGGGCCGGATTCAACCTGCAGGCCTTGTATTTGCCACCTGTGTCCTAGTGTATCACTTACACTGGGATGGTCTTGGGGACCCCCCTAACAATCACATTAGATAATTTCTGATCAAAAATCACATGATTATAACATACAAATCCTTACTAAATAAGGCATAGTTGCTGCTAAAGTTTGCTAGGAAGAAAAATAACGTTCAGTATGTTGACCTCTGATCTGTTTGACAAACTTAATCTGAATAAGAACTATATATGACTTCCCTTGATGTTCTGCAATTGCTAGCCAAATTTGTGGGGTGAGAAGGAAGAGTTTACAGGGAAAATAACTCTACAAACGTGAATAATAACCACAACTGTTATTGATCACTTGTAGTAAGAACCACAACTGTTATCGATAACTTGTACTTAGCGCAACAGGCATTGCTCTAAGCATGTAACTAAGTTAATCACATCCAATCCCAACAACTCCCTATAAGGTAGGTATCTTTTCCTAGATGGGAAAACACACTGATAAGTAACTTGCCCAAGGTCAAACAATGAATAACAGCAGAATCAAGATTCAAACCCAGAAGAATGTGGGTTTGAATTCTTAGGTAGAAGCCAGGAATTCTATCCAAGACATAGAGAGAGTTAAGAGCATCAACAAATTAGTGATAATCTTAATATAAAAACAAAAATTAAAAAGAGAAGAAGCTATAGAAAACAATATATCTGAATGTAAGGGTAGGGAGAGAAAAGAGATTGATTTCACAAAAGTAAAGAAAGAAATAAACTTTGAGATAAATATGGAGGGAAGAAAGGCAGTCAACAGAAGTAAATGTTGGAAAAGAGGCAAAAAGGTCAAAAAATGTTCACATTTCAGAGTCTGTCCAACCTAAACAATTTTATTTCCCTGTAGCCTAACATGTACCCTCATTCTGATCAACTCCCTATTTCCAAGAATGTACCCTGCTATGGCCAGCTCTGTTATCTTCATTCATGTGTTATCCAGAAACTCAAGTATACTTTCCTCTACCTTCAAAGGGAAATTTAAGAGAAAACTAAGAATCCTATGAAACTGTTTGCAAAATTAAATATATGCAGTTTCTGTGAAAGAGATCCATGGTTGTTAGCACATTCTCAAAAAGGGCACAAAAGGGTGTTTTTGTTGTTAAATCTTCCATTCTCAAAGAAGTCTTCTGGAGAGAAAGGTTAACAAGCTTAAATTAAATCCTTTGATACTATCTAGTAGTCTAATCCTTAGACTACTGGGTCTAAGGATTACTTAGACTTAGTCTAATCCTTAGACTACTGGGTAAAAAATAAATATAGACTACTCACTGTAATACTAGGCAACATTATTTATTATAACAATGACTTCCCAATCAGTAAAAAACATGAAAGAATTTAAACTGGAAAGAGTGTATATTAACTAATAAAAGCTTGTTACAGAAATCAGAATAACCTGTTTCCCTGTGGTGTGTGTTTCTTAAAACCAAAAATGACCGTTGAGGTACCTGGAAGTTATTCATGAACTGCTACAAATGGCTCTGTTCATATATGACCTACCTACACTAATGTGATACACATCCACATATTTGATCTTATCTGTTAGTCTAGTATACTCCTTGTTGAGTATAAAAGTTGCACCTGGATGAATGTAAGCTTCTCAATGTAGGTTGATACACTGTATCAGTTTGTATGCTCCTACAAAGCTCATGACCCTGGTGCCAGACCACGACCAATCAGTTACTGAGAGTCTGAATATTAACCAGAAGCCCTAACCATGACTGGTCCTGCAGAGTGGGTATTGTACCTTTCTTCCCCAAGACAATTCTCATGAGCCTCACATCCTTGAATTTATTCAACTGTTACAGCCTCTTTAATAGAATAGAAATATTCATCTTGACATTTCTTTAGAACCATGTTTAGAAAGGGAGAACACACAGGAACACCTAATAAAATCTTGCTAATTACAAATATCTACCTTTCCCCTCCCTCCTGCCCTTTCCTTTTCTTTCTCTCCCGTTCTCTTTGCTCTTTTTCTCCACAGCCCCCCTCCCCGCCAGTAACTACCAAAGATAGATCATGACTCTATCTTCATTCTGAGTATGCCTAAAATCAGGTTAAACTTCTTCAAAGGAAGTATATAGCAGAGAAAATGCAAGAAATCCTTGAGAACTACAGAGCAGATTTCTAGAAATGTCTCCATCACCATCTCCGATCATATCTAGAGATATGACCTAATATTTAACAGAATTCTAATTACTAACAGACATTTATCTGAAATTAGCTTCCTGACTCTATGAACTGGCAAATTCTCATTCTACTTGCTGTTCAGTCTATACCACCTAAAATGTATTCTTGCCAAAATTGTTTAAACTTGATTCTAACAAGCCTTTTTAGCTCTAACTTCAAGTTTACAGAAAATACATGGAATAGGAAAAACAAGGTGGGTGTGTTACTTGAGGATACCACATCAATTTCTAGAAAATTAAATGTAATAAACAAAACAGTGCAGGAAGATAGAATGGGAAAAGAGCATGAAACCGTTAAAGAGTTAAGAAACAATAAATCCAAATGCGAAACGCAAACTTCAAGCAAATCAACAATAAAACAACAGTTTAGGAACAAGGGGGACAAAATGAACATAGTCTAGATACTAGATACGTTTTTAAAAGATTATTGTTAATTTTCTTAGGTATCATTGTAACCACAGAATCTGCCCAAACTGGCATTACACTGTTTCTAACAACATACTGAGTTGTTTTTCAGGGACAGCAGAACAAAACCATTAAGTCATGCAGTACACACATGCACTGAGGAGAGAATTTTGACCTTCAGTAACAACTGGAACCATTACCACCAACCAAAGAGCTGGAACTTCACTGGAACTTCATCATCA